TACAAGATGGGGGGGTGAGTCGAAGGCGCCGGAAAAGACGCAACTGGCTTGAAATGACACTGTGGTGGACCCCGCTTCCATCACGAGGGCTCCAGGCCCATTCAAAATAGATTCAAATGTAAAAAGAAAATAATTTAAAAAATCATGTTTCTCACACACACGCACGCACGCACTTTAAACAGGCTTAATGTTATTCGAAAACAGTTTTTAAAGAACTCCTCAGCATCTGTTGTCACACTCTTTGTCAAAAAATGGGAGTCTCTCATATAAAATAAAATTAGCATAGAAACTAAAGTAATTCTAAACCTTCAAACAACTTCAACGCACAAGGAGTAGCAAGAAATACAAACAGAGCAGACAACAAAAGAAAGTGAAATGTTGTGCGCTTAAACATCAAAAATGTTTACCCCAACCGTCGCATTCTGAACGTCCGCTGGCCTAATGCTAACATGTAATATAAAACGCCATTGACAGGCTAACAGAAATTAGCATAGCTTCTACGGGTAATTTTACTGCTTTAAAAGACACAGAGCAACAACACATCCTAACAGAACGCGGGTGTTACAACACTGAAAACCAGACTTACCTGCAGAATGTGAAACCCATAAAAAAAAGCCAATTAAATAGCTGCCATTTAGTGATTGTGCTAACGACATAGCAAGTGAATACTGTGTCGTTTAGTGAGTCATTTTTGTTGGGCAAAATTCTATTTGACTGAAAATATAGAGTGTCCAAAGTTGTCACAAGGTTTTTTTTTAAAGATCATGTCCAGCCATGTTTTTTTGTTTGTTTGTTTTTGTTTTTGCATTCCAACGATGCGTCTCTTACAGGAACTATGGCCCAACCATCTCGGTTCAGAATGAGGCGGTTCAGCGCGGCTGCCAGCAAGTTCTGTGGCTGTACGGACCTGACGAGCAGATCACAGAGGTCGGGACCATGAACCTTTTCATCTACTGGACCAATGACAACGGAGGTACGAACAAGCCAGACAGCGATTAAACCGAGGGCGAATTGTAAAACCAATAATTGACACTCTGCCTTCAAGGATTTTGTCACTGAGATTCTACATGATAGTAGCAAAATGAAAATGAAGCTGCTAACGCATCAACACCATGCAGCTAGCCTGTACGCAATCATGAATCCATGTTACATAAACGACTGGATGCAGTCGTTCAGTTGGTCAACACACACACACCCCACCTTCACGCGAGGCTCATCAAGTATCCGCGAGCACGCGTCACTGAATCAGAAATGTCTGCGCATTGTGATTCAGGAGTAGTCGATGATGACTGGTTGTGAATGCAGTCGCTGCGTTCGCACTCCTTTACTCATTCCCAGCTTAAGAATCGCGACATCAAGATATTGAGTGGGCTTGATATTTGATATTGTAGAGAAAGAGTTGATGACGCCACCCCTGGATGGCATCATCCTTCCCGGAGTCACCAGACAGTCTCTGCTGGACCTGGCCAGAACCTGGGTTAGTTTTTCCTCACGTGGCCTCATTAAAATGTTTTGCATTGGATTTACGTACATCATGAAAAAGAAAAAAAAAAGAGCTTGATTGATTTGTTGTAAATATAATGTTAGTCAAAAAAATGGTTTTACCTTCATTTTGATTTCTGCTAATTTTCATCAAAAATTGGTTTATCATTATTATCATTATTATTATTAATTAAATGACGTAATTATAAGTAATACAAAAAGTACAAAAAAGAAAAAGTTGCAGGAGTTTTTGTTACCAGTTTCATATTTATAGTCTATAGTTGTATTTAAATTAATTAATATGTTTTCACCTCATCTAAATACAGTTAAAATGTATTTTTATTAATTTGTCTAATTGAATTAATTGGTTGATTGAATTATTGTTAAAAAAATTAATTGGCAAACATTTGACATACACTCGGGACATTATTGTTTTCATTAATGCATACATGGTAAAAAAATTAATGACTAATTATTGAAAATTCGAATGAATGAGCTGTTTATTACTCATGAATTAACTTTTTTTTACCTTATTTCTTCCTCCTTTGTAGTAAAGTAAATCTATTCATTTGAAATCAGAAAATTACTTCAATAAATAAAATACCTCATCAGTTAAACTTTTACATGTAACATTTTATTGAAAGGTTAGCTTTATTTTTAACTAGTTTTCTAATTATCAGTAGTGCGAAAATTTGAATTAGTGGTTGACACAAATACCATCTTGCAGAATTTAAACTTTATTTTAATCTCATCTACAAATGAGGGCAAACTGTATGAAAATAATTTTCATTCATTCACTTAGAGGACTACATACGTAAATGTAAAACACAAATTGTAAGTCAATTCAAATATTGTACTTCATAGGTTGACTATACAGTACTCTATTATAATCAATTATCGTGAAATGATGACTAATGAGCAAATGGGCGTGTCAACTGTTGGTGCTGTTGGTGTGTAGGGCGAGTTCAAAGTGACGGAGCGCACGATGGGCATGCAGGAGCTGCTAACCGCGCTGGACGCCGGCCAGGTTCTGGAGGTGTTTGGCGCCGGTACCGCCTGTGTGGTGTGTCCCGTGGGCAGCCTCCTCTACAACGGCAAGGTGCGTTTGTTTATTTATTTAGGGGTGGGCGGGCGCGCGCCCCCTTGTGGCCAAACCAAACACTGACCTTCCTCCCTTCTCAGACGTACCACATCCCGACCATGCAGAACGGACCGGAACTGGCCAAGAGGTTCTACAAAGAGCTCACCGATATTCAGGTAAGTACTGGAAAACTGCTTGCAAAAATAATATGGCTGCCAAATTCACCTAAAAGTACAGTGTTAGATTATTCCATGATAAATACGTGAGAGGTTTCCATACCTGTCAACTTTTCGGAGCGCCAACCTGTATAAACTACCAAAAAAATCCAGAGCAAAAAATCCTTATAACATACCAAAGCATTTTATATGTCAAAATAACGGCAGAAAAAAACCCACGAAATATGAATGATATATTTGTTTCCTTGTAGAACTTGCTTGTACACTACCGAAGTATGCAATGAATACTCTGGTGTTTTCAACTAGGAACCACGTGATTTACTGGAAAGTTACCGAAAATGAAAGCATTCGAGTCGACTAGCACCATTCTGGGCAAAAGCAAACGGAACTACCTGTTAGGGGGAAAGGAAAAAAAAAACGGAAATTTTCAGAATCCGTGTGATTTGTGCGATATGGCCATATACGTAAGATTCACCACAAAATCCGTATGAACTATGGCTAACCCGTATGAGTTGACAGGTATGGGTTTCATGTTTTAACATCTTTAAAACGTTTTAACGTGACGTTACCATGTTTAAATGTGTTACGTTTTGACTTCGGGTTCAGGACATTTTTGCATCGTGTAAAAAAATAAAATAAATAAAAAATAAACATGAAAAAATATTTTTATTTAAAAAGAAGACACATGCAGAAGTCAAACGTATCTCCTTTTAATGAACATGAAAACATACGTTAGCATGTTAAAACGCAATAGCACGTTAGAATCTTAAAACGTGATAGCACATTCAAAATTTAAAACTTTAGGTGAACCTTATCATGTTAAACCCACGTGGACATTGATTTTTTTTTTCCCCCGGTGTGGCAGATATGCTTTGTAAAAAAAAAAAAACAATTGTAAATACAGTCTAAGACTTAATTTTAAAGTTATATTGCCCAACCCCAAATGACATGAAATCTTTTGTCAAATTTTTGTTCTCCTCTTGTCTTTTCACAGTACGGACGTAAGGCCAGCGAATGGGCGCCTCTGGTGGATTAAATTTCTTGTTTTGCACAAGTCAGTAGAATCAACAGTTAGATGCCGTAATTTCACTTTGGACCACCAGTATCCCCTCCAACTCTTCTCTCTCTCTTTCCTGACATATCTCAAACCACTAACGCACTCCTGCCACTTGGCTGAGACGAGACTGGAGCAATAAGAACTGTATGCAACACGGCTCCACTTTATAGATTGTAATATACGTATATATATGTGATATATAGCACAATGTTCCTCCTCGTGTGAACACTAGTGGTACTTTGGTAATGAGCCGCATTGAGGTGTGGTGCTTTTAAATTGTTACTGTCTGCGAATGGGGCCACTTAGCGAGGACGAGCGACCGCACACAAAAGGGCACAAAATGGAGAGTAGCGCGAGCTAATGTTGGCCCACTGCACTGGTTTGTGTTAGGTTTGTTTTTTTTTTTTTAGATGTTTTTAAATGATACAAGAAATTAGGTGATCTTCTGCAAATTGAATTCTCTGTGATGTCGTCAAGTGCCTGCTGACCCCCGTTTGGTCGGTCAGCGCGTCTTCCGCGGAATAGTTTCCAGTAAATCCTCTCCTTTCTATGTCCCGTATATGTTTAGTCAACATTTTTACATTAAAGCCCATTTGAGTCCAGTCTGGTCTGCTCTGATTTGGAAAGTGGTCAGATGATGCCAGGTCATTTGTAGATGAGCATTTGAAGAAATGTGGTTTAATTTAAATTAATTGAATGTTTTGTAATGCAAGTTATTTACAACAAACCAACTTGAAAGTGTTTAATGTAAAATTATGTACTTTAAAACGGTATTATTCCCAAAATTTTAAGTATGTTAAATGAGTCCTTTATGATTTTTTTTTCAAAAACTACATATTTTCCCATATTCATTTACAATACAGTTATCCAGTTTTATATTTGTGCCTTTTTTTGACAACCAATCCAAATGTTGCATGTTCAATTTTCTAAATTTACAGCAAATGGTTTAACAAGGTTTTAGCTGTATTTCAAATTAGTTTCTTCCTTTAATTTTTATGTATAAATTTTGATACGGTTTATATGAAAGTAAATTGTAATGTGATTGAAATGACGGAAAGCCAACCGAACACCACCACTACTACGACTAAATTATTTCATGACAAAAAATATTTACCGGAAAAACAGCAACGCTAAAGCTGCAAATATTACCGAACTCTTGATCTCAATGCTAAATCGGCAGGGCACAAAGAGCTTAGCACACACATTTTTTATTTTTTTACGGTTTTATTTGTGAAATCGAGAGAATTTAGAATCTGAGCTTCTGGAAGAACCACTTGTTCTTACCAGTCTTGTACCTGCAAAACAAAAATGGACCCAATTCAGATGACACCAACGTGAACTTGACAGCTCAGAAATTCCCAGAAGGGAAGCTCACCTCTCTTCAAATTTAACCTTGGCCTCACGTCTGGCTTTTGATTTGAGAGCGGGATCCCTGAATACATCCTTGTTGACCACCGTTTTGTCCAGGGGGATGTCCACGGAGTATCTACGCAAGAAAAAAAAAAAATGTTACCCTCCAAACATAGCTCTAAACCAATGCAAAGCGTTTTCCGAACAGGTCAACCAGAGGCACAGACCTGGTGGGCATGAGGTGGTTGTAGTTGTAGACCTTGACGAAGGCCTTAATCTTGGACCTCTTGGCGATCTTCTTTTTCCCCATGGGGGCGGTCACCTTGCGGGGGTAGCGGTCGATGCCGGCCACCAGGGCATGACTATAAGGCCGGTCGGCCGTGCCGTCGTCAATGTTCTGATTTAGCACAAGATGGAAAGCAGCGCAGAGACGCTTCATGTAAGATCATTTTCAAATGGAATGACAGTGGTGCCATGCGATATGAGTCGAATTAGGTCCCCTCATATCCTCAAATCATCTTTCCACATTAAAATTCAGGGAAATGCCATTCATCTGTTCTAAACCAATAACAGCGCAGAAGATAACAATGGTACTCTAATAAAACCAACACTCTTTATTATACTTTATAGAAACAACGTGAACAATTGAACCACTTTTGGAACTCTTTTTCTTCCCCTTCGATTCAATCAAAATGATGTTCTGTTGTGAGCACCATTGCCCACCTGGGGACAGTATAAATACAGACAAACACACAAAGAAGAGTTTCACACCTGACTCAATAACCTGTGGTACCAGCAGTCATTTTTTTTTACGAAGGAAAATTAGCCTGCGTAAGTGTTGCTCCACTGATCGAATCTCCGTTGTTCATAGTGTAAAAAATGCACGTTACCTCCTAGAAAACAATCCCCCATATATCCCAGCATGACACAGATTTTTTTTTTTTTAACGTGGCTCGATAAGCATCTTTCTGTTCCTTCTATCAAGTGCGTCTTCAAAGGGTAAGTAGTTCTCTTTCAGTTGTTATATTTAACAGCATCTCCTGAAATGACTTAACCTTATGAAACTTTTCGCGTCTTTCTTTACCTTAACGATGACAGCTTTGCGGCCGGCGTAGCGTCCAGCGAGGACCATCACCACCTTTCCGGGTTTCATGAACTTGCCCATTTCTGCACAGACAACAAGAAACCATCGGCTACGATTCACCACAACATAACAACATGCAAGTAATGAAGTAAGTAATAAAGTAACGCGAAGGAACGGAACGCAGCTTCAAACTACCTCGTTTCTGGCTACCTTAGCTTTAGCTTTCGTGTGGCTAGCGAGTACAAATATGACCTCCATGCCGCGTTGACGACACATTATGTGCGATGCAAATAACGGGGAAACGTTTTATATGTGATCCAAGTCAAACCGTATATATTTGGTGGTAAGAAAACAGTGTCAAGTGGCACAAGTGTGGAAAAACAGAGAGGCTGCCATGTTGGAATCAACGCTCCAGAATCTAAGCGTACCCATAACCGCTCATTTAAACGACTTTTCACTTAAATAGACGTTTATTCGCAGACATAACAATGGCGTTAGGCTTAGTAGTGTTTCCCCTTAATATCCGATACACTAAAATATTTGAATGCACCGAACTGTACGCGATGTTTGAAGATTATCACGACGAAAATTCACTCACTGGGACTGTTTCTATGGCCTCCGCTGGTAGGAAAGGAAGTGAAGGAGGTTTTAGCGAACTTTGACCCGCACGTGGGAACGTCACTTCCTGAAATAAATTAGTTGGTTTATACGTGGCCATTTGTTGACTCCTTTTTTTTTTGTTTATTTTATTTTATATGTAGATTATTATGTTTTATATACTGTGTCGTTCTATTTATATATGGTACGTGATTACGTTTTTTTTTTTACGAACCCGAAGGCGTCAGTTGCGAAATCACCTTTATTTACATTGACCGTACTTTACTTCGGGGGTTGGGTAAGATGGCGACTTGTCCGGCTACTTTCTCTCGAGCTCGTGAAATTTTGCGGCGTACCAGACCGCTAAAACGATTGAAATGGACTCAAGCGATTGTATTTGAAAGGTGAAACAATATACTTGTCGTTCGTCTGTTGTTTGTGGGGACGCTATTTCAAGGAAGACTGTGCTATGGTGTTTTCACGTCGCGTCTGCGAAGTTGCTATTTGTTCACTTCGATCACCGGCAGCGGTTGTATTAAAAAACCCGTTATTTCAATTATTTTTGATTGAGATAGATAATTATTTTGTCTCTTGATCTAATAATAAAAAATGTAGATCAATAATTGCTATACTTAAATGTTGAAAGAGTAACTCACGGAAATCCTTGTTTTTATTTTATTTTCTTTATCAATTCTATTATAGTTTTTATTATGCTGTTACGTATGGATGTAAAAAATGTTAATTGGATGGCCTGATGTGGTATATATATTTTGTCAATTAAAAAAACATTTGTCATACTTTCTAAAAGTTCAAGTCGGTTGTTGTCAGTTGATGCTTAAATGGTGTTTGTATGAAAATGTGTATAGTTTATTACTGGAAAGCAAATGTTGCCTTTCTGTAGTGTATTTTGAATTCAGGGTGTAAAATCTGCAGAAAAAAAAGCAAGAAAACCCATGAGCAGCTCCGGGGTTTATCACACATACAAAGTTTACAACGACATGACAGGAACGTGACACAGCAAACTACTGCATGTGTATTATTAATGTTTAGGATAAAGAAATCAAAAGAACGTAGCTACATATTCATGATTCAGTGTGGCAGCTGTGTTTATATGCCGATATGACCCAATAAATTATGATTTTTTTTCTGTACATAAGTACCAAGATAGCAGGGCAAAAACAACATTCGGTGCTACATTTGCACACTGATTCGTTGCTGGTGTCAGTCTAAGCAATTTAAAACCTGCTACACACGTGGAGGTAGCACTTGAATAGCAACTACAGCGTTGACATTCATGAGAAGATACTTGCCGCAACCAGTATCGTGTTCCCATACAATCATCTCACAAAACATTTTTAAATGAAACAAAAAAAAAAAAGCAGCAAAGTCAGTCACTGTGCTAGCGCCTCATTTTTGGATAGTCAGCCATTCTGGTAATTGTAAACTAATTATCTGTCAGTTGTAATGTTATTAGTTTTAAAACATCACTCTTTTTTTCTATTTATATCAATGTTATTATAATTAACCAATTATTTGATCAAATAAATACAACATAGTTCAAGGATAAATTGTAATTTTTACAACTAACCAATGGTATAATGAGAGACACTATTAAAAAAACAAACAAACAATGAATAAATAGATTTTAAGTAACTCATTTTCGAAAAACGAAATGTCTTAATGCAACAACAATTTCGGGATTCTTATAGAATGTAAATGTTGGCTGGGCCGCATGTCAGCCGCGGGGCAAAATGTTTTGCGCACCCCAACGCTAACGTCTTCTTGACTGATTGCATTTGGCGTGGTCAGAAAGCGTCCTTGATGTTCTTGAGCTGCCGCACGGCCAGGTCAACGGGCAGGTCGAACTTGAGGTGACTGATGCGTCCCAGGATGCGGAGGGCACCCTCGAAGCCGGTCTGCGCCATGTAGCTCCACGCCAGGTAGTGCGGGTGCACCAGCGTGCCCGCCTTGCACAGCAGGTTGAGCCACGACACCAGCCGCTGCTCGTTGAGCGCCATGCACACGAGCGCCTTGAACTCCGTGTCGGGGCCTCGCTTGTAGCGCCCGTGCTCCTTCAGAACCGTGTGGATGGCCCACAGGAGGGATTGTTTAGGGGTAACGGTAACCGGACCGCCCCCTACCGGCAGGCTGAAGGACTGCGAGAGCTGGCGGGCGGGCGACTCTGCAAAGGCCTTGCCGTTTTTCGAGTGGTAGTACTTGACGAAGAGCTCCCAAGGGTGTATGGTTTGGGGCCCGGTGGTCCGGTGGGGCAGCAAGCAGGAGATGGGCGCCAGAACCAGGCTGACAGTCTGGGAAGGCGAAACCAGACCATGAGCCAGCAAGTCTTTGAGAACCAGGGCCAGTTCCCTGCGTACACATGCAGTCAGCTCATCGCGCGGTCCCAGAGCCGAGTTCCCGGTGTAGTTGACCACGTGATCCGGGCCAGCCTGGCGGTGCGAGCCCAGAACGCGAACCTTGTCCACGGTTGCCTCCAGACGGCGGAGGAGAGGACCATAATCGCGCTGCGCCGAGTCTTGAGGCCACATGCCCGACGGCGCCTGGCCGGCCGAGCAGCCGAACTGGCTGGCAGCGAAGATCTGCAGCACGGCCAGAGCCTTCTGGATCAGCTGCAGGCCTGTCTCGCGCATCCGCTGCGCCTGTTCCGGGTCCGCTGAAGAGAAGCAAACACAAGCGGCCTATGTCATTTTCATGACAAAGGGACGCCAGTAGATGGCAGCGTTGCATTGCCTTGGATTTGAAAGCAGCACAGCTTTTGAGTAGAAGATAACGATTAGGCAGTTAATCTTGGCTTATTGCGTCCATTATGAGGGAGAGAAATGCCAACAATTTGTAAGTCGGACAAGTTTAGGCACTTGAGACTTGAACAGTGTTATGTCCTGTATATGTAAGGTACAAACAGAACATGTGTCGTCATGTCGTAGAAAGTGCGTGTTGCTATCGTGAGAAAATAAGAGGGAGTTATTGGAGTGATTGGCCATGCGGTGAGACAGCACGGATCACGGTGTGTTTGTTATGTATTTTTTTAAAAAAGACCCTTTCTCAGTCTTATTTGCTGTTTTATCGTTTGAGGGCATCACAAACGGAAAAAAATACAAGCGTCAAAGCTCATTTTTTGATCAGAAACCCATGTTTTGAGTGAAACCAGCCTGTGTTCTACTGCTGATGGCTACAGAAAATAAAAGCTGGAATCAAACAACTTTTTTCCAGGCGAGTCTATTCTTCCCAAGTCCACTCACCAGTCCTCGTCCCTCTAGCGGTTCTGGTCTTGGCAGAGGCCGCTAGAGGCTGCTGACTGTGCGTGCCGTCACACAAAAGAGGGTTGCCCACCTCATCTGGAAGGAAAACACATTTCGTCCACAAAAGCGACAAAATGTTGTCAAATGCGAGTCCACCGCATACCCTGGATGAAGTTGATGAACATCTCCAGGTCTCTAATTTGCGTCTTGAGCTGCTCGACCAGCTGCTCCTTCACCCGCGCCGGATTGACGATCTGCGCGATGGCGGCGTCCACTCGCCGTCGCAGCTCCTCGGGCGACAAGTTGCCGATGTCCTCATTCAGGTTGACGTCCAACTTCTTGATCAGCTCGTCGATGATGACCTGAAAATCGTGGCCAGGTTGTAAAAAATCAGCAACAAAATCCAGTCGACAGTGTTGCGTCGCTAAACGAGGCAAGTTTATTTCTTTAGCAGCCATTCGCAACTGCTCAGTAAAATGCAGTGATGGCAACAATTTCATCGCGTGTCAGAGCTGAACGATTTCAGGATGCTCTTCAAGACAAAAGTGGAACCTAAGCATTTAGTTTGGGCTTTCGCGACTCTGTATTGCACATTATCTTAGTGACTAGCATTTGCCTGATTGGTGAGCTTGGGGACATGTCAGAATCCTTCAATGACGATCACAAAATCACGTTTTCTGAGATCACAATTTCGATCCCAAAAACGATCAATTATTTCAGCCCTAACAGGGTCTCATCAAACACTCAGTTTTTTGCGTTATTCCGGGCAGGGCTCAGTCGTTATCCCCCCGCAAGATGACTCTAGCAAGTAGCCGACTGCGCTCTGACCTTCTGCCGCTCCATGACGACCGACTGCGGCAGCGAGTCGTAGCTGCCCTCCTGGTAGGCAAAGTGCTCCAGGTCGTCCAGCTGCGTCTTGAGCTGGAAGATGAGATCTTTTTGCTTCTCCCGCTGAGCCTCCAAACGCTCGCGCTTCTCCCGCTCGCTCTGGAATGCAAATGACACGCTCGTTTGATTTGAACTCCCGTAACATGCAGTAACACACCATGGGAAATACCACAGATGGGCTAACAAATCATAGTGGCAGTGCCATTTAAACACAAATAGTGCAGCAGCACATGTAGATAGGCAATATGACAACGGGCACAGGCATGTATCAGTCAGATGTGAAACTCTTTTTCATGTGGGTCTATTTGTCTATAATATGCTGGTGGTAAGAATTTTATTGGATAATAACACAAATATTTTGGGTCGCCATGGGTTCATCAGTTTAGGGACAGCTCTCAACATGGTGCCGTGCGGTTGCCACAGGCACAAAAATAAACACGTTCAATGAATACCTCTCTGACAGTCAAAAGTGAGCGTTATTACCTTTGTAATGGAGGATTTTTGTTAAAATACTTTTACTTGCATGCGTGTGTTTAATATTGCATGAGTGTATTTGTACATGAAGAAAACATACAAATGAATGACGGGAAATTCCAATTTAAAATGTAGAGAAACGTGTTGTCCAACTCACCAGGTCCTCCTGCAGGTGAAGCATGTGTGAGGGTGACAAATAAAGATGTGAAGAACAGGAAGTAAATACTGGCTGAGTACACATCAGCCTTAATCAAATAAGACAACCATCAGCCATGGCATGTTTTTTTTTTTTACATTTATCTTGTCTGGTGCTGCGAAAACCACCAGAGAAACAAGAAAAGCCGGCATGTGACGTTGGAAAGCCGCTTTAATCCCCTTCAATCTGACTTGATTGATTTATATCCATGTGACATAACGCTGGCACAGATACCCTCCACTTAAAAGTCTTTAAAAAAAGTCACACATGCTTTCTCTGACTTGTTTTTCACTTTTAGTACAAAGGTAAATGCATTTCTTAAAGAAATGATGTCTCGATCAGATACTTTTTATTTCTCGAACATTTTCAGAGTACTGTACTAGGGCCGAAGTGAAAAAATTAATTGTAGGTTTAATTTTAATTAATTGTGGTACATGACTGTAAAGAGAATCTACACCCGAGGAAGTAAACACGACAAACTCAAGACCCCCTTGACAAGTATTGAAAGGTTCTGTTTGTGACCTCTCACCGTGTTGTGGAGGTGCTGGGCGTCACGGGGTCCGCAGCCGAGCACATGCGGGCATCCCCGGAAGGCGAACTCCTCTAGCTCGGTGAGCATCTTCTCCTTCTCGTCGCTCTGCGCGTGGACGATCTGCTTGAGTCGGAACTGCACCTGGGCAAAGTGCGACGTAAGGGCGAGCAGCGACGAGTTGAGGAGCTCCTGCTCCTCTTCCAGCTTCATCAGTCGCCCCGCCATTTCCTCGTCGACGTCGCCTCCGCCGACCGATGCTCTTCCCCTCGACTGGCCGCAGTTTGCGCGCTCCTCCTCGGGGTTGGCCACGGCGCCTACCGGCGCCCAGCGCTCGCCGGCGCCGGCCACGGCGGCCTCGCTATCCGAGGCTGAAAGCTCCTCCGTGGACATAGTGGACGGAGGCCCTTAATAACAATTCTCACTCGGCTTGAATTGACCAAATCCTGGGGAAAACGCAGAGATGATCGCCGTTATGGAAACAGGTGGATCGCCATCTTGATGCAAAATAAACTACGTCAGAGGGAGACGAGTCAGCCAATCATTGGATATCCGGAAGTACCAACGACTGACGTCAAAGCAGAGACGCATAAACCCGTCACAGAATATCCGGAAGTGCCGCAGTTTAGTCACGAGTATCACCGTGTCAGTGAAATGTCTTATAAGTTAATTAAAATAACAGAACGTGTGAATCCAGAGCATTACTATATAATGACCCCTGCATCGCACCATAAGATCAAGGCTAAAACCGTTTGTCGCCGTTTGTTGATTGTTAGCTAGTTATCGGGATTAGCTACACAGGACTGTATAACAGATGGGACCCCATTCATGGAAGATCACGGAGTCACCTCCTATGACCAATTTCACTCGGTTTAGAGGGGTTTTGCTTAGTTAATAGCGGAAAATCTTGGGACAGTGCATCAATACGTCAGAGACGCGTCGGCCAATCACAAGACGAGTCGGAAAATGCCCAAAGTGAAGCACCACAGGATTTTATCTTCACTAATCGTCCTTAGATGATAGTAAAAATGGATTAATGCATTCTATATATTTTAGTTTTATTATGCCTGACAAACGTCAAAAGAGCAGCATTAAACACTGTTTGGATGACCGTTTGTTTGATTGGCGTGAGGGGGAGGATCAGGACAGTACAGTATACCCTGCATGCAAAATATTATCTTAAACCACCAACGCGCAATGGCTCTGCTCACTCGCACGTGGGTGTGTTCTGCACAAAAGGGTTCAGCAGTAAAATCAAATGGCTGGTTAACTTAATTTGTAGTTTGGTTGGTTTGTGGGGTCGATTGGTAGTTTGGGTGAGAAGATGGTTTGTGGTAAGAGTCGGTGGCTGATACAGTAGTTGGGTGCTTGTTTCGTTGTGAGGCGTTCGATTGTTTGGTTAATAGTTCGGGTTGACCAATAGGTTAATTGGTAGTTGAGGTGGTTTAAATTGTTGAGGGTAAACAGTTCCCTTGAATATTATTCAATTTATGTCGATCCCAGGCATCTCCTCCACTAGATTTTGGGAATCAAAAGTTTCAAATGATAGTGTGCCACAGGTCGATGGTGGGAAATACGAACTCACTTTGTAATTGGTTTGCAACCGGTTCAGAGTGTCCCCACGCCTACTGCCCGAAGACAGCTGGGATCGACGCTTGTGAGGATAAAGTGGATCGGAAAATGGATGGATGGAGTGTCCTTGGGTGTCTTGAAAGGCGCTTATAAAATGTAAATGTATTATTATTATTAAAACTCCCGTGTAATTCCCTTGTCATGCTGATACTCCTCACAACCACTTGGGGGCGATCTTGCACAGTACGTTGGAGTTGCAACGACACAGTGGGGCAGTTGGACTTTCAAACCACATTTCTTCTTTAGTGATTAGACTACAGTTAGAACATCGACTCCAATATTTCAATGAACATAGGTTTCACATTGGTGTGTTGTATGTCGTATACTGTATTGAGGAACAAAGACAAAGAAAGAGCAGCGTTCAACACATCGCGCTGGTGGTTTTTTGTTGTCATTGGAAGACAACTAGAGCCAGGGAAGGTCGCCGTTCGAGGTGCACTGGCCGCCAAGGGTGCACCTGTTGCCGGCCTGACAGCAATGCTGCATGTCGCTGCAGCACACCGCCTGTGAGATAAGAAGAAAGGATTTTTAAATGTGCTGCTTCATGAGCGTTTCAACCAAGGCTGGGAAAACCTTTGGGGTCAAGGAGTTTATCGGACTGCAAGATGTAAAATTGTTGAAGTATGAAATGATTGGTTTGTTTTTAATCATAATCACCTTACCTTGACGTGTAAAAATGTGTATTTGACTTTTTTTTTTTTTTTTTTTTTTTTTTAATGTATGAATGTGGGAGGAAACTGAAGTACCCAGAGAAAACCCACACAGGCACGGGACATCAGGCAAACGCCACAAACCAGGCTAGGGCTTGGAATTGAACCCTGCACCTCTGCACTGTGAGGCGGACATGAGAACCAGTTCTTCACCATGCCGCCTAAAATCATATAAAAAAAATCTATGTTTTACTATTTCAGAGAAATTACATTTTAAACCATAATGTTTTATTTTCCCATTATTATTTTGTTAGTTTTTTTTAAAGTAGTATTATATTTAAATGAAGACATAACATTTTTTATTTGGCTCATATTCATTGTCTATTTGTAGAATTTAATCAAATATTCTTTCAATAAAAATTTTGAATTCGATGTAACATTTTATTTTATGAGAATCTTTATTTTATTTTTAAGAATTTACTACAACATATTTTCAAATAAAAAAGGTTAAATTATACAGTATGTAAAATATTTATTACTACTCTTTTTTTTTAAATAAATTATTTAATGCAATAAATATATTTTCTTCTACTCTTGATCATGTAAATGAAAGAACCGAAGTGGGCCTTATGAACTCTGCCGGCACACTGCTTTGGAGAGATAATGATCATACGTTAGCAAAAGGACAGCATCCCCAGTCCGTGGATGAAATCTTGCAGCAGGTCTGCCCGTCGTTGCACATGCTCTGGTCGTCGCACTGCACGAATCCCGGCTTCATGGCAGCGACAGTGGTCCGCGGCGGGAGTAAGGAAGAGATGCTGGCCGGAAGTTTAGGGTACCACGGGATGGCCACTTGCCCTTTCACGCACTTGGACTCTTGCTCGTCGCACGTGTAGTCCGTGGGGCAGCAGTGGTTGCCGTCAGGACAGCAGACGGCCTGTCAAAGAGGTAGTGAGACTTAAGTAGAGACTAACCCTCGCTTCTGCTTTCACAAGCAGCAGTGTTAGCCCAAAAAATGCTCAGGACAAGTGAGCTTGGTGCAAACACAATGACAAAGGAAGGGACTTTTTCTTGTTTGGAGGAAAAGAACTGAGAAACAGGTTTTACTAACTCTTGACAAGGTCCAAGGCTCTTTGTTGGTTGTAAGTTTTTAACCTAATGGTTGGCCAATGCGAGCGGTGTACAATATTCACCCGAGGCAGGGGGCAGCATCCCCACGATCCCGTTTGGGTCTTGCAGCAGGTGGAGCTGTCAGAACACGTGTGAGTGTCGTCACATTTCACTTCCTGTTCCTGCTGCCTGGACCCCGCGGCCTCTTTCTCCAACCACGGCACTGAACGCCATTCCTGATCGCAAGTCTGAGCAACCAAGTTGCACGTGTGACCTTGAGGGCAGCAGTGTAGTAAGTCACTGCAGCAAACCGCCTGGGAAGACAATCCAAAAAGACAAACAAACAAAATAAATCATCAGGCAAAAGCATGTTCAATGTTAAATTTGCAGCCACCGTGTTACCTGTGGTAGAGGACAGCAGGACCAATCCCCTTGGGCGGTTTTACAACAAGTGGTGCCATCTTCGCAGTAGGATTTGTCGTCACAGGGGACCATATTGGCTGCAAAAATAGCAAAAAAAAGTTTGAATTAAACGGGGATGTGTCATGTGTCCAAAAATAAAACCACCAAAAAAACTAAACAAAGCAAAAAAAAAAAAAAACAAGTCCACCATCCACCATGCACAATCCCTCCTGGCCTGCAAGACCTGAAAGACAAGTAACGTTTAGCAGCACGTCTCGACACGCCCGCCCCGACGAGATGCATCCTTTTGTTTTGTTCGACATGGCCAACTGCATTCGAATATGGACCAAATCAACATGAATATGATGCCAAAACATTTAATATTCTCCGCAGAGGATCTTTGGTGTCAGAGCTTTTCGCAGGTTAACGTGTAAAGGCCAAGGTCAAACCTCAAGGTCACAGCGAGGTCAAATATGCGAACAGTAGTAGATAACTAGCTGCTTATCTGTTTTTTTTTTGGGTGGCTATTGACTTTGATCTTCAAGAGATCATCTAAGGTCAAACTGCAACAAAGTCATACATCAGATTAGAGGTCATATGTTGATGCAAGAACCACAAAACATGTCCCATTTCTGATTTAGTTCCTTATTCAGCACAAGATAAGCGAACATGGCTGACCGTGGGTGATGCTACTAGTTCAACACTTCATCCACACACTTCCCCCTCTCAGCTTTTTATCACACCCGAGCATCGTCAACGGTTTCTCCGCGCTGACAGAACCGCTCATCTGAATCAGGAAGTCCCTTGGGGGGAACGAAAAACTGACCTCGTTGGTTCTCCCAGTCAGCCCTCCTCCTGGCAGGAAGCTTGTTCCACATCGGCATGTCCTCGCCGTCCTCCGGTGAGACGCAGACGGAGCGTCGGACGTCGCACAGGCTGCCCCCGGGGCAACAGTGCTCTTTGTCTTCGCAGCACACGGCCTGTTTGGACGGCCTTTTGTTGTCAATTCGGCATTTTTCAGATATGTACACGATGTGACTTCCCTATCACTGTACAGTGAGCTCACTATGAGTGACATGGTAGGAAGGCACAAACACTGCATTGAAAGCAATTGTTCTTTTTGTACGGCACAGCACGTTGTTGCAGCTGCTTTAAACTGCTTTGAAAATAGTGAGTTGAGTCCAAACAGAAACATCAGCTGCCTTGACTAGAGTTTGTGTCAAAAGCAATTTCCGCTGGGCCTAGCTAGCAACCTCAAGCTCTGGTCATGTACGGTAAGCTGCTTTTTTTTTTAAACCCGTTTTTTGTGAATTCTGGAAAAAACTCTCAGCTTCTTCACCATGTTTCAGAAGCGGAACCCCGCCAGCGACGAACCGCAGTTTGAAGTTCAAAGGCGAATCACTCACTAGCCATTCACTTTTGTGTTTAGCGCTATCACGTTTTTACTATCTCGTTGTCCTTGTGCGCGAGGTATCGATGCAAAATGGGAAGTGGAAGTCCTCCGTGGAATTTTCTGGCTTCCGATGTCAAACCAGAATGGAGTCAACGGCAACCGCAGTTTGCAGTTTAACACCCGACCCTCTTTAAGCTGTTGAAAGCAGTTGTTGGTGGAACCACCAGACTGTCAAGACAATTTTGCAGCTTCCAATTTACCAGAGGCTGCACACATGCCTGCTAGACATCAGTAGCCACAACTAGAGTTTCAACATTTTATACTCGAGACTCAGTTTCCACACACCTTTTTGTATCAAAAGCTTTTGTCGCTAGCACAAGCTAGCACTACTTTTGTTTTTTTTGTTTTTTTTTTTCCCCCATGCTCAAAGTTTCGCCTTCCCAATTGTCTGACGCCGCCACACATCTGTTTATTTCAATGCGCATATCAGCAGCGGCTACGTGAACACACACTATGGACATGGCAGCCTCCCACAAGTTCTGTCCGACACAGAGAGGTAAATCAATTGTAACATCACCGATATGTATACGGTAGGCTGATTATACCTTTGGCAGAGGGCAACACCCCCAGGTGCCCTGCGGGGTCTCGCAACAAGTGCTGCCGTTGGGGCACTCGGACACCTTGTCGCCGCACAACACCACCGACTCTGCATATATCAAAATTAAGTGCAAGATACAACATATGTCAAGATTTAGTCAACTTTCCACAAATGTTGTGTGTTACAAATAAAGAATATACAAAACAAAACCTGGCTTGAAGCACCACATGCTGTCGGCACTGCAGAGGTGACCCTCTTGACAACAACGCATCCCGTTAGCGCAAGCCAGTCCCTGTCGGAAAATTCCATGATCACTCATATTGTTTAGAATGTGACTCTACATTTCATTAATTCCATGTGTAGCATCAATGTCATGCACTGTAGTGGGTGTATTAGAATTCATCATGATACTGTATATCTGTGTCGCACTACAGTGAAGTCCCAGTTTTTGCCTTCACAAATACGGATTTTTTGGGGGAACTGATATTCTGTGATTCGCTGAAGAACTAGTTATTGTTTTCGTGCTCAGGTCAAAGTCACTGAAATATTTGACACCATCTTCTGGCCTGCCAACAAACAATGTTGAAGTGAAGAAGGGGTCAAGGTGCAAATTTTGGCGACCCAAGCTATATTCTGCTTTATCTCTCCAGTTATAGTCTTAAAACGCCTCTTGCAAGTGTAAAGTGTTATAAAGAATAAAACTTTCAAACATCACAAGAAAGTCAAACCCCATTAAAGGACTATTAAAAAAATATGCAGTACTATTAGAAGTATACCCTCATCTGAAGTTTGACTTCAACTTTCAGTTTCCATTTTTTGCAGTGTCAGCATGTCCATTGTAGGTTATTGCAACATGAAGAAACTTTGTAGGTTACTTCAACATCACAAAAGTGAAATACAGCCTTGCAATACATTTGGTTTCTGGTGGTTTTGCTTTGTAGGGTAATGTTACTATCATGTCCTCTCACTTGGTCAGAGGGGCCACACTGGAAGCTGCTGGTGCGTCGGTGATCTGATTGACACGTCCCACCAAGTGGACCCTCAACCAGAACCAGTATGGCCCAGCAGAACGCAGCCAGGCTCGGCATCTGAAATTGTGTTTTATTATCACAGCCATTCATCAGATCAACATTAATGGACGATATTAGATGACGTACAAATTAATCCTGTGGCATCTATTAGGCCTTGTAATTATCATTTTAAAAAATAGAATCAGATCAACGCAGCTCTTACCTTGACTGTGGCCTGTGAATTGTTTGTAAGTGGAGCAGTGTACAAAGTCGTGCCTCCTGCTGTACAAAGGGCTGCTTTGAACACGCCCATTTACTGTAAAAGCACAGCCTGGACGTGCCCATATCACTTCCTTTTTTCTTATGTCATGAAACAGGAGTACACTGTATTTCAAATGTATCAGGCTAATTTTAACTTCTCTTTTAAGTACAGTTTTTTTTGGGGGGGCTTGCTTGTGTATGGTCAAAATTATTATTCTGTTAAAAAAAAAAAGGATTAAAATAACTATACAACCTAAATAAATTTTTCTTAAATCATGTTTTTCTTATGTTTGAACTGCGTGACATTAGTTAAAAACGGGCTATATTCAGGAAAATTAAGAAATAAATCCTACTGAAAAAACGCGGCTTGATTTGAGTATATTTGTTTGTGTTATGTCTATATGCTTACAATATAACCACGTTGCAAGACACTACATTGAAGACGACATACAAATACATAAGTAGGTCATTGAAATACAGTGTTGTAGTTTCCTTTTTAAAATAAACATGCACCACCAAACGCTCCAACGCTCCGCTGATGGCCTAACATAAAAGATGTTTAACGGTAATCACTAATCGTAAAGGCTAATGGACATTCTTTTTTAATACAGGGGAGCAAAACAGACATACATATACAACTCGTTGTGTTTGTTACCCAATGTCTTAAAGTAATAGCATAAGTCATATTTTGACCACAAAAAAATACATATATTTTTTGCCCTTAACATCTCCAATGGCCATTGGCTCTGCTAAAATTGGCTACATCCTGATAAGATAAGATCAGATAAGATAAGATAAGAAAAGTTATTTGTCTCACAATGGAGAAATTCCCAATTTACAGCAGCAAAATGATGAAAGTAGAAGACAAAAAGTAAATAAATATAAATATAAGCATATTAAAAATGGATGAGTGGGGGTGAATCCAGTTTGTTAGAGATTCAATTCTACCATTAAAATCAAATTATTAATAATATCATCAGAATGTGGTTCCGTTTTACTTGTTTTCTGAAAAAAATGACTTCGGCCAATTATTAACAATGTCCGCGCATGACCCTTTTTATTTGTAAATTTGTCTAACTCTTCCAGTCACACTGTGGAAATCCCAATGCTTCAAACTTTCCCACTTCAAAGGTCCAGCATTTTATTTTATTTTATTTTTTGTTTTTGTGGGGGGGGGGGGGCTCTCGATTTGAAACCTCACCTTTTTGGTGGACTTGTTTACGTGCTATAGCTTGCAGTGCCTCATCCGTCCATTCGAGGGCGACAGAGCAACGCGGAGATTATGGCAATTTTAGCGCTGATATGTATATGATGAGGATCGACCTCGTCACGTAATACAACAATGACAGCCCACGCACAACGCTTTACAGATCTGCCGAGTTTCATCTTCACTGCATTGATGAATCCCCCCTCGACAAACTCAAACACAATGAACAAGGGCAGTTGACAACAGCGATGCGGACCGCTGCTTTGGGAAAAAAAATATTGAATTTCAAGTAACATGGGTGAAGGTATTTGGCGAAGAGGCGTAAAGTTCCAGTTCAAGTAAAACTTCAAGGTGAGTAGAAGAGAGTGCATGCTAGCTGGCTAGCTTACGACGCTCGACAGCTTTGCTAGCTTACATGCTAGCTTCAAATGGTGTTCAAGTCAGAATATTCGGTTACTTGCGATTATTTAAATATGTCATAACACCTCGCCACTGTAGAAAAAAACGTTTTTTAAAAAAAAATAAATTTTCATGTTTGTTATATGACAATGAGCTCGTCGTGTGAGCACGATGAAAAGAAATACACTTTTCACTTTGCAACCTCATCATAACGCCCTTGTTGGGCGCCATGGTCTTTCTTTTATAAAGTAGATTCTATCTTTTATGGAGTTGATTCTAGTCAATTTTTCTCTTTAAAATTTAAATTTGATGTAAATGGCGCCCCTGCTGACTTGAGGTTTAATTTGAGACGTGGTGCATTCTGTCGTCATGAGTGAATAATGTTAACCCGTTTTGCAAGAAAGGTATTTACTTATTTGCACATATTTTCATCGTCCTTAAGCACATGCTTGGTTAAACAATAATTATTAATGTGTGAAGAAAGGCTTGGCAATTCTTCATTTTTTTTACAGCAATACCAACGTCACCGAAAAGAGCTTGAAAAATCGAAGAAATTGCATCTAAATGTTGTGAATGTTTTAATTAAAGAAGGTATGACATTTTAAATACTTCTAAAAGCGGGCAAAAGTGACCGCTTGTTTCAAAATCAGAACAACAGTGTCAGTTTTTACGGAAAGGAAATGAAGCTGAGACCTTGAAGCCTCACACTTTGCATAAGTGTGGACCAAATTATAAAAGAGACACACCACAATAAAATGTATGATGTCTCAAGCTGACTAACCCTAAAGTTAATGAGTTAATTATGTTAACCCTCTTTTAAGCAGCCAGGGCACATTTTCCCGAGAGGAGCTCAAACAGACTTGGTGTGACATGATCACACAAAAATGGGGTCTCGAGTAATGGCAGAGCTAGGTCCCTTGTCGTATACATACAAAATGAAAAGAATATTTTATTTTACAACGAATGTGAAAAGAAGTTCTTCTTGGACAAAAATGGTCTCTAATACCAAGCATGAAATGAGCAGTGAAAAGGCAGAGGATGCCTGATCCATCTGTTTTGATTGCTTCCTCTCTTACACTACTATGCCTCAGAAATTTCTCACGTGTGACTGCTTGTGCAAAACGGGAAGGCATGTCTGAAGACGTGTAAGGCAAATATTTCGGTGATTGCCTCCCACTGGGCTCCTTTCATGTCGCACACAAAACTATATGTGTCAGTGATTCTACACTTGGTCTTTGTTTGTTAGCGAGAATTAAACTCACTAGCTGCTACTTTTTTTTGGGGGGGGGGGGTTGTTATCAAATGGGTCAGAAAAGCAGCTACCTAAGGTGGTAACACTGATTTGCTTTGTACTATAGTAACCATGAAAACAAAAAAATGCCACACTGACGAATGAATTCAAACTCATCAATAGATTTGATTAATCACCCAGCCCTAGTGTGACGTTTTGGTTAAATGGTGCGCTCTTTGCCAGACTGCCTGCGGCTGCATAACAACTTTGGGCTTATGCACAGCTTTGATAAGCTATCGGCAGAGGCCCAGTAAGCGACTGCGCCTTAGCTACTGCGCTTTTGGGTTGTCCCTGACTCACTTTGTGTTGCACTAATAACATGTCGAAACAATGAAACAAATGACAGTTTTTTGTTTTTGTTTTTTTAGCTTCTATCTTTTATCTTTGTTTGTGTTGCCACGGAAACAGAAAAAAAATTAGCGGTTCTCAAACAGGGACTCCCCTCATGATCCTAAAGGCCATTAAACGTAACTACCATGTAATCGGTTGAAGAGCATAATTGCTGCCGACATTTTTGAAATTTTCAAAGTAAACGAAAAACACCCCAAAAATTCACAAACAAGATCTTTGTGGATAATCGTTATGTCTTATATTTTAGATTTCATTCTGTACTGTGTACAGTTCACTTGTAAATTTATTTTTGTGCATGCAAATACTTTGTTTTTCTACTTTATTTCTTTCAAAATCTTGCAGCTGTAAATTGCAAATGTCTCCATTGTGAGACAAATAAAGGTTTTCTTATCTTCTTATGATCTGAGAACCTACACAAAAATAAGGGGGGAAAAACACCATATTTGGTACACATTTAGATTTTTTGATTGATATTGTGAGTGTTAAGTCAAAGTTTAAACAGGGAAAAGTCATATTTTTAACAAGATAATAAATACAAATAATGATTACAAATGTAACTTTATCCTCATATTTACTCCCCCCCATAAAATTTAATAATAAAACAAGAAAAGAACTGAACTTTCTTCCTGTAATATCCCCTTTGTTAAAAACTAAAAGCAACACTTTATTCTTGCAGCACGGTCAGATTTATAGAATGAACAACATTGGACTTTGATGCCTTATTTCTGTACCTCACAGTCGTATCAGAGCTTTTACATCACTTGGCTGAAAAGTAAGGTAGGGATGGTGTATTGGTTTATTATGTTTGGGTTTTTTTTTTTTTTTTTTTTTTTTAAATTGGTGGGCAAGTTCTCCTATGTGGCTATGCGGACCCCTGTTGGTTCAGGGAACACCGTTTGAGAACCACTGGTTCGGCGAGCTCCAACCAACACAGCGACTGCAACGCTTCAAAAGCCTAACTAGCAGTCGTTTGAGCTTGTGCTTGACGGAGGGCGGGCGGTTAGTAAACGCCTCTGTGGCGTTCAATGTTCTGTGTTTGGGGCGACAGGTGGGCACGATGGCGGAGCGGGCCGCCGGTAGTACGTCGGCCATCTCTCCAGTGCAGCAGATGCTGGCCTCTGGCACTGGAGCCCTCCTCACGTCTGTTTTTGGTGAGAGATTTTGCGAAAGAGAAAAAAAAAATATGCACAGTCATACCTTGACTTACAAGTGACCCGACACCCAGTTTTTTATTCATTTTTGTTGTTGTTTTTTTGTTTTTTTTAACTACAAGATATTTCTTGATCTATTTTGTGCTTTCTATTATCAGGCAGAATTTGAGTTGCGAGCAAGCTTCAGATATGCTGTGCTTGAGGGAAGTGGGAGAGAAAAAAGGGGAGGAGTTAAAATACTTTCATGCCCTCACTTGTGTTTATTGAACGGGACAAACAGTCGAACGCAGAAATACAAAATGACAACACTTACAAGTTAGCAGGCTGTTAGCCACAATTAACACGAACAAATCAGCCAACCCACTGTCATAGCATTTCGATGAGGGAAATTGAATTAGAATTAGAATATAGTGTTCCTCTCTCCGCGAATCAATCCCTGCCGCAGGTATCGAAAATTTACATGTACCGGTAACTGACGTCATCACGTCACCAAAAACTTTGCAATTGCCGACGGATACCACAAGATGGCTGCAAAGCATTTCAAATGGAGAGGATCATAAAGCATCAACACCACGCTTTAGAATGTACACAATCATGAAGCCATGTTACATTTTAAGGAGTATATTCATTGGTGCAATTCTGAAACACAAGCAAAGCGCCCCAACTCATTTCAATAAAGTTCCTTGGTACCACGATTGTGCCAAATGATTACTTTCAATACAATGCTCAATAGTGATTGTGAGAGTTTTTCAGTGAAAAATTGAGGACAGGTCTAACATCCCCAAAATCCCGTGTCTCGATCAAGCCGCATCTAATACGTGAGGGGATAACGTAAATTGAGTTCGGCGCTAGGTCCCGGAATGAATAAAACTCGTAAGTCAAGGTACCACTGCCGGAATTTGTGTGAGCGACGACCATTCGAGTGTTGTCGCTCAGTCTTTGAACTGTTTTGCAGTCACGCCTCTGGATGTGGTGAAGATCAGGCTGCAGGCCCAGCAGAGTCCCCTCCATCAAGGTAGCCGCTTCTCGTCACCGCCTGCGGATGTCGATTTGGTGGATGCCGTTTGTTTGTCCTGTTTTAACATCCAGACGCTCCTTTTGCCTTTGCTTTCTTTCCAAAGCTGTAACAAATGATGCCGCTTCCTGGGCTGGTGTCACTCACCCCTCCAAGTGTGAGTAGCGCACCTTCGGCCGCTGCACGCACGCAGCCTCTTAAACTTCAGCGTGTTGTTCTGCATGTGTGTACGAGGAAGTGTGAGGGGCCACAGTGAGAAGACAAAGAATGAAATGAAAAGCAGATAAGTTTTAAAGTTAGGTGAAAAATGTCATCGAGGTCAAATAAAGTAAAAGGACTCAAGTGTGAATGTCACAACTGGTTTCTAAGTTTCCGCCCCCCACATATGATTATAACTGTTCTCATTCTGTTTTGAATTAGAAAGTTCATTTTTTTTCCTTACAAAATAAATTCCTTCAAAATGTTTTCTCTTGGAAAAAAATAGCTTTTTTTTTTGTCTTTGAAACCGTCCAACTTTATTCTTGCAAATACAAGCAGTCTTACAAATATAACATTTTAAAATGACTTCGTTCTAAAAATAAAAATCAAATTTTAGAGCAATATTCTGAAACAATTGCCATCTTATTCTTGGCCAGTTTTAGTCGTCAAGAATTGTTGTTTCATTCTTGAAAAAGGTTTTCTTTGGCTGAGCACTCTATTCACATATCATAATTCTCAAGTATTATTTTATCGCCTTGTATATACAAAATTCCTTCTTGTAAGTTCCCACTTCATTTTTGCAACAGTCCAAATCTCTTTTTGTAATTCATTGACTGGGATCATCCTTGTACTTTGTTCTCATGACCGCCACTTGAAAAACAAAGACTTTTTTTTTCTCCTAGTAATAGTGTGACTTTGCGCTAGTGATATAGCACACGTTTTCTTGCAATTCTTATTCTTTATTCTTTTAAAAGCGGCAACTATCAAATTGACTTCACACAAATTGCCTCAAGTTATGACTTAATTGGCATTCTGTGAGTGTTTGCATTTTTATATTTCTGGAGAAAAAAATGTATGTCCGCTAATAGTCTGACCTAATTCTTGTGACAATTCGCCTTCCTTCTCATAGCTAAGACTTCATTCTTGTACTCTTTTCTTCTGGGTGTGGCCTGTCATCCCTTCATAACACGTCTTTAAACGCACCGCCTACGTTGGCATATTTGTGTCCTGTGTCGTCGTTGCCTTATCACGATCACGTCTGGAATGTGAAAAGTGTTCACTAATAATTGATGTGCTTCGGGCTGTTTTTATCCGACATCCTGGCAAGGCCCGGGTCAAAGGTGTCCTGTGTCGTAACGTTTACTGTTTTTTTTTTTTTTTTTCTCTCCGTTTCACCCAGATAGGTGCTTCCTGTATTGTAACGGCTTGATGGATCACATCTACGTGTGTCAGAATGGAAGCAACTGCACCAGCTGGTACAAGCCGCAATCACATTTCAGCGGCACCTTGGTGAGTTCATAGCAAATACGAATGCCGCAAACTCACAGGGAAAAAAATCACTCCCCAAAAAATAGTTAAACCTAACCGAAACCTCCCAAGATTCCTCCCCGATGGTGCCAAATTACAACTTGTATTGCTCTGACCTGAGCACAAAAACAGTCATAGGCTGGGGTTTTCAGCTAATAGAGGTTCTGGGGTCCAAAAAAAAAAATATTTCACTCCACGACACAAAATTCAAGTCAGTTTGTGAGTCACCTCTTTGGTTTGTCTGCTTGCGTGGCAGGATGCTTTTGTGAAAATCTCTCGCCATGAAGGACTCAAGTCTCTGTGGAGCGGACTCCCACCCACGCTGTCAGTAACTCGCCCCGCAGACTTGGCAGCGCAACGACCTCCGTGGTCTAAACGGTTGTGCGTTGTGTTTAGCGTCATGGCCGTGCCCGCCACCGTCATCTACTTCACCTGCTACGACCAGCTGCGGGACTTCCTGCGTTTCGGCCTGGGTTTCCACGGCAACCACATCCCACTCCTGGCAGGAGGCCTCGCCAGATGTAAGCCTACGAAAACACGCATGAAAATAATGAGGTGGAACACGACTTTTCGTCATTACTTAAGTCCAGTGTGTTGACAGCATAAGCAGCCATTTTGTACTGTATAAATGGACTCCCAAGTCTTTGTGATTACCATTCCCATGAATGGGAGTTGCGTACCAGACAAGACACACCCGCTGTTGATAAAAGTCTATACAGATTGGCTTATACCCCCCCCCCAAAAAAAAAACAAAAAACAAAAATAGATCAATAAAAATGGCCATAGTTAAAACTACATAGCTTTGCCTCCAATTAGCTTATGCTAACAAACAAACAAACAACCATTGCAGTGGGTGCCGTGACGGTCATCAGTCCACTGGAGTTGATCAGGACCAAGATGCAGTCCCGCCACCTGACGTACGGCGAACTGCGCGTATGCATCCGCAGCGCCGTGGCCCAGGGTGGCCTGATGTCGCTGTGGCGTGGCTGGGGACCCACCGTGCTCAGAGATGTTCCCTTCTCGGGTGAGAACCGCTTCGTTGTCTGTTCCTGTCCAAATAGCTGACTCGTCAGGTCTGATAGGATCATAATGTCTCTTCCTTTGGACAAGTTTGAGACGAGGGAGGTCAGGTTTTATGACAAGTGTCGTAGCGGCTGTCAAGTTAGTCTGAAGACTTTGCCTACGCTTTGGCGTGCGTGCGCTCTGGCCAATTTCTCCTCTTTGTTTGTGGATGCGCAGCAATTTACTGGTTCAACTACGAGCTGGTGAAAGCCCGCCTCTGTCAACGATCCCAAATCCCCCAGGCCAACTTCGCCATCAGCTTCACCGCAGGCGCCGCCTCGGGAACAGTGCGTATACGAACACATACTCACCTTCCATTCCGAATCTATTGAAAAAAAGATTGACGCTCAACTTGGGCCGAGTTCGACAAGGGCAAGAGCAACCACTGTGGCAGTGGCTGCGCTGTCAGTGATATCCAAATGCATTTCTGCGTCCCAAATGTCAGATCGCGGCCATCTTGACACTACCCTTTGACGTGGTGAAGACTCGCAGACAGATCCAGCTGGGAGAGATGGATGCGCTCGGAGGTGCGTAGACTGCCGCTGGGAATTGATGCTTAACCACATGATTGCAATCATGTCATTGCTGTCACTGGTCCTCCTAGCCCCGATGAAGAAAACTGTGTCCACATGGCGCATCATGAGGGACATTTGGAGTGAGGTGGGCTACCGGGGGCTCTTTGCAGGTACGTGCCACCATCTCGCTCACATTCACATCATTATTTCAAAGAAGGGCTTGGGTGGCAGATGTGGCCATGAAATAATCTATTAATTATAATAAAAATCCATGTCATTGCCAAGTTGATTCCAAAGTGAAATGAACGTGTTTTTGTTTTCAGGTTTCATGCCCAGAGTGATCAAAGTGGCGCCAGCCTGTGCTGTCATGATCAGCACTTATGAGTTCGGAAAGGCGTTCTTCCAGAAAGTCAACCGGGATCGCGAGCCTGTGGCGTCCTAAAGGGACGACTGGAATATCTCGGGGAATCTTTTTGTTTTTGTTTTTTTACATTCGCCATTTGGATGAAGTTAATGTTCAAACTGAGATGGCGCTTTTTTTTTTAACACAATTCAATTTTACATGTGTCCTACTGGGGTTCACGGTTGGTGTGAGTTCCAAACCACATTCTACTGATTATAGGATCCTATTTTACATTTATGGACAAGTAGTTGTTTGATGTACTATATCGACAACGGTCAAGAAGCTGCATTTGTGACGCAATGCCACATGTGAAATCCATGACGAAAAATTGCATGAGCAAAGAAGCATGACCAAGCTGCTGAAGATGCATGGACATCGAATCATTCATCGATTCAGTCATTCATTCCTTCAGTGAGGGGCTCCGTGTAAGCTTCCTGGCCTGTATCCAGGGAAACATTTTGGACTTGACATTTTCAATGCACCATTGGGCTCATGTAGCACTTATAGTTTTTATGAATGCCCTCAAACACAAATGACCACATTTTAACTCACTAAGCTGCTGGCTTCTCTTCCGTTCTTACAGTTGGAGCAAAGCCATAGGACATGACAGAATCCAAACAAAAAAAGAAAATGGACTTTTGCGCAATTTGCAAACAATGTCTGTCAAAACCTTGGAATTTTCCAGACCAGATGTGAAGAATTTCTTACAACACTGTTTTAAAGTATAATTATCTTGCCTTAAGGCGGAATCTTTCATTTTCTTCCAATACATTAAATGGTATCATGATGGCAGTTTTGAGTTTCATTTTATTAATGAGATTATGCACATTGTGTTGTCACGCTTTTCACGAGGATAGGGACCAAGTGAGGACAAGATGGTGACAAAGCACTACTTTTGTCTAAAGCTCAACTCAATGTAATTCATTGGTGACAAAGCACTATTTTAAAATAAATTAAGCTCCTCAACTCACTTCAACAAAATTCCTTGGTGTGAATCCTTTACTTTGGTCGAAATGAAGCTCTTTAACTTGAGTTTATTTGGTGACAAAGAACCTCCATTTGTAGAGATGAAGCTCTCAATGTACTCACAACAACAAGGTGACAAGATGGCCCCTGAGCCCAAATGGCAAATAGGTGCGTTTGTCAGAAAATATCGGAGGATGGGTTGTAGCACCAACCAATTAAGCAGTGGGACGAGTTCAGTGTTCTGACCTCAATTGAAGCCGTGAAGCTAAAACAGCGACTCATGCTGGCCTTTATGTGTCAATACGCCTCGAAGGCGGGACTTGTGACGCAAAGGTCTCATTGTGTCTCGCGATAGTTGCGCCACCTTATAACCATCGGTCCGCGCTAAGCAAGGCCTCTTTCAGTTGGATCGGAGACAAAATGGTGAGTGAGTTCGTCAGAATGCCTACATCTAGTACTGACAATCCGTCACACATCTTTACCATCTGGAGCTTTAGTGCACTTACAGAGTTTCACGTAATTTTTATGAGGGTTTAACTATCATATTCGGATGGATTTTCTGGCCTATCTCGAATATTGATTTTGAAAAGGCTTGCGCAACTTATCGTGGCCTAAAATGGCTGCTTGTTCTCCATGTTGTCTTATTGAATAGGTTAACATGACTATTTCCCAATACGCATTCCTATGGAAGTACTTGTACTCTGATGTCTTAATTTAGACAACTCGGTGTAGTTGCATTTTAGCAAGCTAACAACGTGGTCGACTGATACCCTGTTAGCCGCCAATGCTTACGACGGACGCTGTGAAAATGAATGGACACATGTGTTTGGTCTTTCGTAGTCCCACCGTAAGTTTTCGGCTCCGCGCCACGGCTCTCTGGGCTTCTTGCCTCGCAAGAGGAGTCGCCGTCACCGGGGTAAGGCCAAGAGCTTCCCCAAGGACGACCCGAGCAAGCCGGTCCACCTGACCGCCTTCCTGGGTTACAAGGCCGGCATGACTCACATCGTCCGCGAAGTAGACAGGCCTGGATCAAGTGAGTTGTCATATCCAACAGAATGTTTTATTTTTATTTTTTGTATTTTGTCTATGATGAGACCCTCGACGGGCGGACAGAATGGGCTTAAACTCCCTTGCTGATCGTCGAGTACTGAGCAGACTTACTTACTGACTGACTGACTGATTGATTGTCTAATTGCATGAAAGTCAACTTGTGTGCATTTCTGTACAGAGGTGAACAAGAAGGAGGTGGTGGAGGCAGTCACCATCGTGGAGACTCCCCCCATGATTGTGGTCGGCGTGGTGGGTTATGTGAGCACCCCCCGCGGCCTGCGCGCCTTCAAGACAGTTTTTGCTGAGCACATGAGCGACGAGTGCAAGAGGCGGTTCTACAAGAACTGGTGAGGTGCCATGCCGCGATTTAAGAGCAGTGGTTCTCAACTGGTATCACCCTTGAACTGTCATTACTATTTCAGCCTTTTTTTTTTCAATTAGTACAGATTGTAGTTGAAATCTACACCGTCAACCACTAATGCCGTCATTATATATAGCCATTACCCTTTTCTATCGGTATTAAAAATATGCTTTTTATAGGCACTTGCTCCTTTGACTTTCTTGAAACTATACTGAAGCCAAATTTTGAGTAAAATTATGCTATAGCTCATGTATGTGAACCAAATCGGACAAAATCATAATTACAGTAAATCCATGTATCCAAAGACATCAGTGCTATAAAATTTTAAAATGGTTCGCACTGCACTTAGTAGGTAGTCGGACACTGAGCGTGGTCGTCAGCTTCACGTCGTTCTGAACCTCAAATCATAGTTGTCATTAAGGTGCCTGTTTTTAATTCACTTTTATTCGGTACCCACCAGTTGAGAAGCACTGCCCCAGAATGTTCAAAGCAGACGTTAGTAGGCCAGTGGAGATCTTTTCTTTTCCCTGAGCGACTAACAGTTACGGTGGCCCCTGGTGGCAGCTCCGCTCAGGTGCCCCGCGCCCTGATGAGCTCCGGGCTCCTCTGGCCGGTGGAAAGTTCTGCTTAGAAACCGTGCCACGAGCCGAAATCCCCTCATTGGCTGGTGCCGCCCCCTCTTCGATCAGGGCGACCAGTCTGGCGCTGTGTTCTTCCGCTGACCCTCCGTGGTCATGAAGGGCCTGTTGCCAACCTTGTTGTGACCACTCGTAGGTACAAATCCAAGAAGAAGGCCTTCACCAAGTACAGCAAGAAGTGGCAGGATGAGGAGGGCAAGAAGCAGCTGGAGAAGGACTTTGCCTCCATGAAGAAGTACTGCCAGGTCATTCGCATCATTGCGCACACACAGGTGAGTTGAGAAACGGGTCTTAGGGGGGGGGGCTCAACTGCTTGCTTTTACGGACACCGCCTTACTTGCCAACAAGCTTGGGAATAGATAGTTTGAATTCATTGTTGGTCATAAAAAAAGGGGGGCGGGAGTCAATTTGAAAATGTGAAATCTGATCAAGTATCCGAACACAAATGGTGCAGGAACACATTTAGACATGATGATGCAGTTCGGCACATTTTCTTTATCCCCCTCAAAAAACACTTATTTTGCTATCCGTGCCACTAAAGTGGATGGTGATTTGAGTTAAGAGCACCGTTACCGATCAAATGGAACTCTTTCCTTAATGCGCATAAAATGCGACCAAGTGTTGGCAAGTAGGCTAGCGTCTGTGCCGTCGGTGACGAGACAATGGAACTCCTGCGTCAGGCGTGGCGCCTGATGATTCCAGTGAGGATACCTTCCAGCTGCCTTCCTTCTGAGACTCCGCCTCCCACAAGCGACCGCCGCGCGCGCTTCCCTCCACACGCGTACTCCCTCGCTGACGAGCCTCCAATTTGTTTGTCGCCAGATGCGTCTGCTGCCCCTGAAGCAGAAGAAGTCACACCTGATGGAGGTGCAGCTCAACGGCGGCTCCATCGCCGAGAAGGTGGACTGGGCCCGCGAGAAGCTGGAGCAGGCCGTCCCCGTTGCCAACGTCTTCACCCAGGACGAGATGATCGACGTCATCGGGGTCACCAAGGGACACGGATACAAAGGTGCCAGCCACACTTGGCTCAATACCTCACTTTAGCCAGATAAAATCATTTTTCCAGGGCTTTAAAGTTGGAAAAAAAATCTCTAGGATTAATTTATTTTAAATTCATTACATGCTTTGGTTGAACCACCAATCTAAATTGTTGAGACAATTTGATGTCATGGGACAAATGAGTGATATTAAAAGGGTCTGAAGTGTTCAAAGGTGTTCATTCGGTATTACCAGTTTTTGAAATTCGGCATGTTTCGTCCCACAGACCACTTGAAGCTGCACCCTTCTGTCAAACGGCTCTGTCGCTTGGTGCTAAGTGCTCTGTGTGGCACCAAAACTTGTTTTTATTAATGTTACTTTTGTCTGTGTCCAGGTGTGACCAGCCGTTGGCACACCAAGAAGCTGCCTCGCAAGACCCATCGCGGTCTGCGCAAGGTGGCCTGCATCGGTGCCTGGCATCCTGCTCGCGTGGCCTTCTCTGTGGCCCGCGCCGGTCAGAAGGGTTACCACCATCGGACCGAGATCAACAAGAAGGTACGCCGGCCTCAAGCTGCTCATTTCAAATGTCATTGCAACACTCGGGTGACGTTTTTTTTTTTTTTTTTTTTTTTTAAGATCTACAAGATCGGTCAGGGCTACCACCAGAAGGACGGCAAGCTGGTGAAGAACAACGCCTCCACAGACTATGACCTGTCCAACAAGAGCATCAACCCTCTGGTCAGCACTCGCATGCTCACGCTAACGCCGTTAAGTCCCCCAAAACATGTCACTGATGTATTTGTTTTGATTTCCTTTCACTAGGGTGGATTTGTCCACTATGGAGAAGTCACCAATGACTTTGTCATGGTCAAAGGATGTGTGATTGGAACCAAGAAGAGAGTTCTCACCCTCCGCAAGGTCAGGATACCATCATATAAACACCAGTCGTTGTTGGACTGAAGCTTAAATATTATATGGAAACGACTTTCTTGTACGATTACTGACATCAGTGTTTTTTTTTTCTTCTTCTTTTTCGTAGTCTCTGCTGGTCCAGACAAACCGTCGCGCTTTGGAGAAGATCGACTTGAAGTTCATCGACACCACCTCCAAGTTCGGTCACGGTCGCTTCCAGACTGTGGAGGAGAAGAAGGCCTTCATGGTGAGATGTCTTTATATTTTTTTCCTTATTGGTCCTCCACGTGCACTGTTCGTAACCTTGTTCAGCCATCAATGTGAACTCGGGTTCCATTCCAGTGCCAGATTGAGCTTCCCGTGAGGCAGGGGAGTAGCGCCCCCTTTTGTGCTCGCTCCCTGTTCACTCTCTGGAAACACGCACCGTTTCAAACTGTAGAAGTACACACACTGTTTGCTGAAGACAACTTCAATAAACCAAACGCGTTTGTCTTTTGTCTGCAGGGACCCCTCAAGAAGGACCGCCTCATCAAGGAGGAGACTGCCTGAAGTCTCACAGCTCTGTACTGTCTTTAATTTCTGCAGAGTTTAATAAAAAAAATGGATACAAAAACAAACTTGTGGAAATGACTGGAGGTGGAGGTGTGATTAGGAGCTAGCATATACGACTTGGACAAAAGTTAAGCCGCTTGAAAGGGTCAATTTTGTTGTTATGGTAACCAGTAAGAAAAGCAGTTCAATGGTCGCTTTTATACAGTTAACATGCCTTTTAAAGGAGAGAGTTTTGTTTTCACCTTATGATAACCGTTGTTTGAATGTTCTTTTCCCCAATTTTTGATTGCCACTTTTACCTTGGAACATTAGGCTGTTTTTTTTGGCAACTCCAA